ATGGAGCTGTAAAGCATTATGCTCAGCGAAATAAGCCAGGCAGTGAAGGATGAACACCATATGATCTCACCTTTAACAGGAACCCAATCAACAAAACAAACAAACAAGCAAAATATAACCAAAGACACTGAAATAGAGGACAGGCTGACAGTGACCAGAGGGGAGAGGGGAAAGAATTTCAGGGGAAAAGGGAACGGGTTTGCAGGAACAAGTATAAGAGACACATGGACAAAAACAAGGGGGAGGTGGAGGTGAGAGGGAAGTGGGGATGGTTGGGGGGGTGGGCTGGGATAGGGGTAAAAGGCAGAAAACTGTACTTGAAAAATGATTAAAAGAAAAGAAAAGAAAAAAAAGGTTGTGGGTTTGACCTCTGGTTGGGACATATTAGAGAGGCAACTGACCCATATTCTCCCTTACAGTGATATTTCTCTGCCCCTCTTTCTTCCTCCTTTCCCCTCTCTGTAAAGTCAATAAGCATGTTCTCAAGTGAGGATTTAAAAATAAAAAATAAAAAAAAAAACCCAACTCACGACAACAAGTTTTGATGAGGCTGTGGAGGCAGTTGGAACGCTTATGTATTTTATCTTGCTTCTAGTAGAACTGGGGAACCATTTTAGGGACTTTTAGTCTACATGGTAGTATATTAAATATTCCTTTCATGAAGATAACTGAGTTTTATGTGAGCAACTACTGGAGGAAGGAGAAGAGTAGGTGGGGGAGACCAGCCAAGTGAGGATGACAGCTGGGTTTAGGGAGGAGGTGTTGGAGTTGGTGTCAACAAGGCAGATTTGTGACAGCTGAGAAGGAAATACTAGCATGGTTTAACAATGAACCCATTTGGTGCAGAACAGGGAGAGGATAATGGTAAGGATTTTCTAGGTCATGACTGGTACATTCAGGTAAATGGAGATGCCACTCAAAGAGATGAGAAACCCTGAAGAGGAGTAAGTTGGTATATAAAAAAAGATAAATTCTTTTATTGCCGTGTTGGGCTGCTTCTGAGATATCTAAGTAGAGATGTCAAGCAGGCAATTGGGAAGAGTGTGTCTGGGGATCATAGGTAATTCAGAGCTACAGAAATAAATTTGGCTATCATTTGCTTTGGTGTGGCTCACTGAGTGCCTTGCCCTGTCTATAATGAGGCTATAAGGTGATAATGGAAGTGCTACTAAAACAAAATTAGGTAGTATAAATGGAATCTAAAGAAGAGGAAGAAAGCTCATCCAGAAAGGGAGAGTGCTAGGGATGTTGTGATATAGGAGCTAGGGACAAAAGAGAAGTTTCATGGTGGAGGCAGTAACCACAACATCTAGTAGTACTGAGTGTTTGGCGGAATGAGTGGCCAGAGGGAAAATAAAGGCAGAGCCCTCACTACTGCAGTCTAACAAAGAACTTAACACAGGTGACTAAAAGCAAAGGAAGATGTGTCTCACCCATTAACCTGGTAATCCTGAGCCCGATAAATCTTCCAGGCATTCCGAACAACACAAGTAAAGTATGATAATACGGGGGGAGCCCTTGAAAGTCTCTGTGTATCATCTTCACTAGCTGGGAAAAGGAAAACCTTGAGACTGTGTATTCATCACAAGTCTTAGAAGCGGTAAGGGGAGGGCAACTACAGTACCCCCAAAAGCCCCTAAAACTACTTTGGTTAACTGTCTGCCTCCCGTCATATACAAAAGGAATAAATAGAGTCCAGAGCAAGATAAGGATTCAGACTAACAGACCCCTACCTACATTTGGGCAATCACAGAAAACTAGAAACACTTTTACCGACCAATCAAAATGTAATTCCCTCACCCCCACCCTGCCAACTACATAAGTCTTAAAAACAAAGGACTCAACCCTTTTTGGCCACTTGGCCCCTGGACACCTGGCCTCTGGACACCCGAGTGCAGTCACCCAATCTCTGCATACCCTGCTTTTGCCACCCTTGCTCTTGCTTTCCCACTAGAACTTAGCACTAATCAACTTTGTGTGCATGCTAATAGGCTCACTGACCTGTAATTCTTCACTGTGTTGGTGAGAGGAACCAGAGTTTCTCCAGTAACAAGAGGACATACAGACTTCCAGCCAAGATGGAGGTGTAGGTAGACACACTGTGCTTCTTTGCACAACCAAAATAAGGTCAGCAACAATTTGGAAACAAGATGACAACCAGATCTGACAGAAAATTGAACTGTATGGAAGTCAGACAACCAAAAAGTTAAAATATACACACTCATCCAGACCAGTAGGAGGGGTGGAGTTGGGCAGCCGGGCGGAGACGGGTCACAGCACAAAAAGCAGTGGCACTGGACGTGTAAGGCATCCCAGGCGCAAGACCCCAGTGGGCAGACCCTGGGCACACAGGCGTCTGGCAGACCCAGCGAGATGGCGACTGTGAAGCAAGGCACTGCATACAAGGCACCTGGCTGTCCAGGCCACATTCACACACAGACAAACCAGGTGAAATTGAGCAGTGAGATAAACCGTGCAACCCAGGGTCCCGGTGCCAGAAATTGAACCTCGAGACACTGATTGAAAACACCTGAGAGGGTTGAGGCAGAGGGAGAGACTCCCAGCCTCACAGGAGAGTTTGTTGGAGAGACCCACAGGGTCCTAGAATGTACACAGGCCTACCCACTCAGGAACCAGCACTAAAAGTGCCCAATTTGCTTGTGGGAAGTGGCAGAGGGGACTAAAATCCAACTGAGAGTGGAGCAAGCGCCATTGTTTTCTCTCTGACTCCGCCCCCACATACAGTGTCACAAACCAGCAACTGGGTTGCCCACCCTGGTGTACACCTAAGGCTCCACCCCTCATATGTAACAGGCACAACCCACACAAATCCAACCCCCACAAAAAAATAGCTCAAACAGAATAACATCAAAGCCCCAGAGCCAATATTTTTAAACAACCAAAAGATAGCCAACCTATCAGATGCACAGTTCAAAGCACTGGTGGTCAGGATGCTCACAGAATTCGTTGAATTTGGTCACAAATTAGATGAACAAATGAAGGCTACGATAAGAGAAATGAAGGAAAATGCACAGGGAACCAATAGTGATGGAAAGAAATCTGGGTCTCAAATCAATGGAGTGGACCAGAAGGAAGAAACAACCAAACAGAAAAGAATGGAGAAATAATTCAAAAAAAATGAGGAGAAGCTTAGGAACCTCTAGGACATCTTTAAGCATTCCAACATCTGAATTATAGGGGTACCAGAAGGGGAAGAGGAAGAGCAACAAGTGGAAAACTTATTTGAACAAATAATAAAGGAGAACTTCCCCAATCTGGCAAAGGAAATAGACTTCCAGGAAGTCCAGGAAGCTCAGAGAGTCCCAAAGAAGTTGAACCCAAGGAGGAACACACCAAGACACATCATAATTACATTAGCCAAGGTAAAAATGAAGGAGAGAATTCTAGAAGCAGCAAGAGATAAGGGGACAGTCACCTACAAAGGAGTTCCCATCAGACTGTCAGCTGATTTCTCAAAAGAGACCTTACAGGCAAGAAGGGGCTGGAAAGAAGTATTCCAAGTCATGAAAGTCAAGGACCTACATCCAAGATTGCTCTATCCAGCAAAGCTTTCATTTAGAATGAAAGGGCAGATAAAGTGCTTCTCAGATAAGGTCAAGTTAAAGGAGTTCATCATCACCAAGCCCTTATTATATGAAATGTCAAAGGGACTTATCTAAGAAAAAGAAGATACAAAATATGAACAGTAAAAAGACAGCAAACTCACAGTTATTAACAACCACACCTAAAACAAAAACAAACTAAGCAAACAACTAGAACAGGAACAGAACCCCAGAAATGGAGATCACATGGAGGATTAGCAATAGGAGAGTGGGAGGGGGAGAGAAGGGGAAAAGGTACAGAGAATAAGTAGCATAGATAGTAGGCAGAAAACAGACAGAGGGAGGGAAAGAATAGTATGAGAAAATGTAGAAGCTAAAGAACTTATGACACAGGGACATGAACTGAAGGGGGTAATGTGGGTTGTAAGGGGTGTGCAGGGTGGAGAGGAGAGAAGGGGGGAAATGGGACAACTGTAATAGCATAATCAATAAAATATATTTAAAAAAAAAGAAAGCTAAAAATGAAACTGCCTTTGACCCGGAAATTCCACTGCTGGGATTATACCCTAGGAAACTTGAAACACCAATCCAAAAGAACCTATGCACCCTAATATTCATAGCAGCACAATTTACAATAACCAAGTGCTGGAAGCAATGTAAGTGCCCATCAGTAAATGAATGGATCAAAAAACTATGATACATTTACACAATGGAATGCTATGTAGCAGAAAGAAAGAAGGAGTTCCTACCCTTTGCAACAGCATGAATGGAACTGGAGAGCATTATGCTGAGTGAAATAAGCCAGACAGTGAAAGACAAATACTATATGACCTCACCTTTAAGTGGAACCTAATCAACAAAACAAACAAGCAAGCAAAATATAGCCAAAGACACTGAAATTAAGAACAAATGGACAGTAACCAGAGAGAAGGTGGAAAGGGATAATGGTGAAGAGGGTAAAGGGTTTGCAAGAACAATTATAAAGGACACATGGACAATAACAAGCGGGTGGAAACAGCAGGGGAGTTGGGAAGGGCTGTGGTGGTGGGGAGGAGTGGGGGGAGGCAGAAAACTGTACTTGAACAACAATTTTAAAAATGTTTTTAAAAAAAAGAAAATTAATAATGATCAGAAAAATACAAATTAACACCACAATGAGCTATCACCTCACACCTGTCAGAATAGCTATCATCAATAAATCTCCCTGGCCAGCGTAGCTCAATTTGTTAGAGTGTCATCCCATAAAACAAAAAGTAATGGGTTTAATCTCAGGCAGGGTACATGCCTAGGTTGCAGGCTTGGTCCCTGGTCAGGGAGCATATGAGAGGCAACTGATCGATATTTCTCTCCTTCTCTCTTTCTCCTCTCTCTAAAATCAGTAAGCATGTCCTCAAGTGAGAATAAATAAAATAATAATAATAATCTACAAACAGGAAGTATAGCTGCATAAATTAATTTATTTCCCTCTGAAAGCCCCATGAAGGCAGGACCTGCCTGAGTAGCTCTTAATTTCTGCCTTAGACATGGTGAATAATTAATCATTTTACACAAGTACACAATTAAACCTCTAGAAATACTGAAAAAAGAAATTAAGAAATCCAGACATTAGCATGAACATTCCACTCTTCTTCATGTTCATAAACGTTCAGTCTCTGGAGAGTCCGTAGAAAGCAGAGCCTTTGCAGAAACTTAACTCAAAGTTCCTAAAAATTGGGCCACCACTGGAATTTTACATGCCAAACTTTCCAAGTACACAGCAGAGCAAAGAAAAATTCCAGATTTTGCAGAGGTTGAGTTTCCAGCATGTCCACCATGACTTCTTTCACATTGCTGATATGAAGAATTTCTTGAAACACACCACAAAGTCTTTCTATCCTCTCTCAATGGCTCAAAGAATGGCAGGGCAGTTTCCATGGGATAAGAGGCTATAGATCAAAAGATCTTCTTAATTCACCTGGAAAGAGAATATTGTAGAAATTAAATATAAGACTATGGAAAGAAAACTTGAAAGTTTCCTCTAATGAAAGAAATGAGAAATTTAAGAAGATTTTAGTCAAAAAATTACCTTGCCACATGGATTGGTCAGGGTAAGAAAAGGCCATATCAATTGGGCTTCCTAAGGAGTTTCATTTTCCTATGTTATCTAAACCCCAAGTTACAGAGGATAAGAACAACTAAATGTGCTACAGAAATAGTCTATCTTTTTGAAAATGTGTGTTCTGATCCCTCTGCTTCAAGGTTTTTGAAATGTTACTTTATGTCTTCAGTCATAAAAGAGGGCAGGTGGGAAATTAATGAAAGGTCAGAAACACTATCTATTGTCCATTACCGAGGATATAAAAGAAGCGGCATTGAACTCTTCTGTTTTTCCCTTCTCCTTTCCATCACCAATATCAGTTATTTATTCCTAGGTCTAGAGAAAGCTCAGTGTAATTCCTAGTGCTTGACATGGGCAACTTCATATGCCTCTCTCTACTCAAGAAGTTTATAAATGTTGTGCTTCAGGAAATTATTCAGAAGTGAACACAAGAGAAAGTACATGTAACAGGTTTCACACAGGGGTGACATGATTTGTCTTTTTAGTTCTGAAAAGATCCCTCTGACTTCTGGGTAAAGAGGCATTGGAAGGTGATGAGAATGGAAAGGGGTGGTCAGTCAGGAGGATGTTGCAGTGCTTCAGGCAAGTGAAGGTGGCAACCTGGCTCAGGGACGCATTTGGAGGATGTAGATGTGATAGAGACTGAGTCAGCTGGGCATATTGGGGACATACTTTCCCTCTCTAAAAATAAATTAATTGAATCTTTTTTAAAATGAAAAAAAATAGAAATTTTTAGATCTAAACCAGTAGTGGTTCTTAGTAATCACTGCCAGGAATTTTCCATGCACTTATGGTTTGTCCATCCTGGTTCTGAAGTGGGAGGAAGGTGCTGAAAATATCAGGCAATCTTACTAAGAAAGTCCAAAATGCCAAGTAACACTGATTTCTGTTCAGTTCTTAAATATGTACATCATTTTTTCCCATCTTTGCCTTTTTAGTTTGGGTGGTGCTGAGTGACTGTGAGATAGAGGTGGATGAAGGGTAAGATAATGTGGCTCTCTGACTGCCATGTGCATCCCTGCTTCAGGTAATCGATTCTCAGCCATTTAGTTAACCATGCATGGCATGCAGCAGTCATTCAGTAAGAGTGCTGATATGTGAAAGTCAGGATGAACACAGTTCCGAAGGAGTAAGAGCAAAATACATGTTTTTTCACTGGGACCATTGCTAATGGTTAAGGAGTTAAAGAGTGAAGCCCATGGGAGCCATGTTAGGACATCCCCTGCTGTATTCCCAGTTTGTCCAGTGTGAGGGGCATGAGCTATTCCTTACATCAGTTCGAGTGAAGGGCTCTGGGAACATTGGGGATCTCACCATGCTAGGCTTGGAAGATTCAGATGTGGCCCTGCTGGAGAGGGTGTACTTCTCAGAGTCTGTTTTGATTTTCCTCACTCGTTTAAACCATTGTCTGTATTGCTCCCGGACCTGCAGAGGCAAAGCATGCTCTGAGTCAGCTCACTGAGAGGACTGAGAATAGAAACAGCGATAGGTGGGAGTTGGACTATGGTACCTGCTGGCTGAGGAGACAGTACACCAGGAAGATGAAGACGCCCTGCAGGCTATTGATGATGGTGAAGAGATAGGCCATGGCTTGGGCAGCTGGGCCCACCTGCAGGATTCCCAGAGACCACGTGCAGCCCAAGATGAAGAGCTGGGCCATTGCTTTAAATGTCAGCATCCTGAGTAGGAGGAGAAATGAGGTCCATGGTGCACCCAGAGCAACAGAATCAAGGTCACTCTCATCTCTACCCCATGGATGTTCCTTCCTGCTTTCCCCTGTTGGTGATGAATTCACAGACTAGAGTTGTGTTCAGCTCTGATCTCTACTGTCAATGATTCTCCACAGTAGAAATGCCACTCTGGTCCAAGGTGGTTTTGACTATATTGAGTAGGGTTGTGACACTTCAAAATGTAGGTTTCAAAAATTTTATGATGCTCCATGTAGAGCCCTGATTTTATTAAACCAACATGTCTGAGGCTGCACTGCGCATCAGGCAGGCTCTGTGCTGGGGCCTGGGCAGTGAAAGTAACGGAGGAAGGATTTCTCTTTTCACAAAGCTCACAGTCTATTCAAATGACTGATATAACCAAATAATGGCATGCAAAATTTAGAAAGGATACTGATGGGAACATTCAAGAAAGATCATTAAAATTGCATAAGAGCCCTAGATGGTGTGGCTCAGTGGATTCAGTGCTAACCTGCAAACCAAAGGGTCTCTAGTTCAAGAACATTATACTAAGTGAAATAAGCCAGGAGGTAAGGGACAAATACCATGTGATCTCACCTTTGACTGGAACATAACCAACAAAAGAAAAAAAGCAAGCAAAATATAACCAGAGACATAGAAATTAAGAACAATTTGACAGTAACCAGAGGGGAGGGGGAAGGGGACAGTGGGGAGAAGGGTTTTCAGGAAATACTTATAAAGGACATGGACAAAACCAAAGGGGAGGGTGTAAGCAAGGGAGAAAGGTGGGTTTGTCTGGTTGTGGGGGGAGTGGTGGAGAAAAAAAATACAGACAGCTATAACTGAACAACAATAACATAATTTTTTTTTTTAAAAAAAGGGTCTTTAGTTCAATTCCCAGTCAGGGCACATGCCTGAGTTGCAGGCCAGGTCCCCAGGAGGGGGTGTGTGAGAGGAAACCACACATTGATGTTTCTCTCCCTCTCCTTCTCCCTCCCTTCCCATCTGTCTACAAAGATAAATAAGTAAAATCTTATAAAAACCACTTATAATTGCACTCCTGAAACAAAGCAGTGCCCATGCTTCCTGGAATAGAATATTTTTCCAGACAGAAATGACGAGGGCTGAGGAGCCTGAACTGAGGGTAGTATGAAAATGTAGGCTGGGTGCATACAGGTTCTTTGTACTTTTGTCATAGGACTGCTGACAAAAGTCCAAAGAAGGTTCATCAACCAACTTCAGTCCTTCCTGCTGCTGAGGGAGTCACAAGCTGGGGTTAGAGACAGAGCTTTGTGGCAGGGGAGTCAGCTGCACACCACTGAATCCCAGCCTGCTGCCCCACAAGGATCGCTGCATCTCTTTACCCTGGGTTCCCCTGGCACCCCCTGGCACACCCTGAGTGGGGACATCAGGGGCTGCTGAAACACATGGATTTGCTCTTGGGACCACATGTGACTATGGGCATGTCACCCTCTTCTCCAGCTTACTTTGTATTCTGCAGGGTGGACACATCAGTGTTGAGGGAAGAGAGTTTGCTTTTCAAAATCCAGAGTGTCATCAGAAAGAAAGCCAGATTGACCTTTGGGAACACAGAGGATTAGTAAATATACTTTTAACTTGTTACCTCTAGCCTAGCTTGTCCAATAGCAATTCCACACTTCAATAGTTTTGATACTTAGTGTCAGAGTTTGTAGTTTTAGGAGCAGTCTGAGAAAATCAAAGCAACCCAATCAGAACCCAGGAAAATTCCTACCCCCTGTCATTCCCTCCCCCCACACCCTTATAATTCTGCTCTTCTAATGATCCTCAGCTGAATGTTAAGGATGCTCTGATGTCATCACTCACAGAGATGATGGCGCAGACGGGTCCAAGGAAGCCCCCACATAAATCCTTTTTTCTGGGTGGAGCCAGCAGCTAAAAAAAGAGATTATTAAGAATGCACTGGTCAATACCATATGATCTCTGAAGTATATTCTAAAGAAGAAGATAAGCAAATTAGCAAAATAGAACCAGAGGCATAGAGACATGGAACAGGCTGACAGCTGTCAGAGGGGACAGGGAGATGGGGACAGCGTGAAAGAAGGTGAAGGGATTAGTCAAAGAACATATATAAATGACCCATGGACATGGACAACGGTGTGGGGATTGACTGTGGGAATCAAGGGTGGCCTGGAAGGAGAAAGGGCTGAAAAATTGGGACAACTAATAGCATAAACAATAAAATATATAAATTAAAATATAAATAAATAAACAAAAAAGAAATAAGAAAGAAACTTCCAAATACAAAATTAAAGAAAAAGGGATTGGTCCTTCAAAGTCTAGAACAGTTATGTAAATCCATTCACTAATTCATTCAACAACAAATACTGAGTGTCCCTTCTGTGATAGGCTCTGTGTCTGGCTCTGAACATTCAGTCATGAAGAAATCAAACATACGAAACTCTCAGATCGGCAAAGGAACAGAGCAAGTGGCTTAGGTTACCAAAACATTTTTGAAAACAGGACAACACTTACAGCGGACATTGAAAAACCAGACGGTAAGGAGACTGCTTCAGGACAACAGGGACCCAGGGATCAGCAAGGAGACCGGGGAGTTGCAGCCCCCAGGTCCGGGTCTGCCTCAGGGCACCCGGGAGAGCTGAGTCACTGCTCCCTCCCTGGACTACAGGGGTTGAGCAACACCAGGGGAGACCTTATTGCTTGAAGGCACAGAGAGGGGAGTTGGACTGGGAGACAGTCACGCAGGGGCTGCGAGCACCCACCCATAGCCCTGGGAGAAGTGAGTGCCTACAGCTGGCACGTTCAGAGGTGGCCTGGATGTGCACCCCCAGCCCCAGCCCGGTGGGAGTGTGGATCTGTGAAAAACCCAGACCTCGAAGCCCTGAACAAGGAAAGGGTGCAGGGTTCTCGGGTTTCTAGAGCCTGCAGTGGTGAACTGAAGAAGCATGCACCCCCTCAGGAATCCTGACTCTTGTGCTGTGAACCCGGAAGGGACATGGCACCTGGGGGTTCCTAGAGCCCAAAACTGAAAAAACTGATGGAAGTGCATGCCGCTTTACGATCCCCAGAGCTTGCATCGTGAATACAGAAAAAGATGCCAGTGCTTCCCAAGAACAAAGCACCCGCCACGGTGAAATGTGGGGGAAGGGTGCATCTCCTTGCGATCCCCAGAGCTTGCATAGTGAACCCGGAATGGATGCAGGAGCTCTGCGGGGGTGCAGAGCTCTCCCCGGAGCCAGGAGATGGCGGCAGTGAGCTCTGAAGAGCGAGCTCAGGAGCGCCCACGGTCCTATAGGGGAAAGTCAGATTGGCTCTGGGGAGAGCACCCTGCTGGCCCTGGGGACAGTACCGGAGAGGCTTACTGAGTTTTGACAGGGAAGAGTGATAAGCATTTCAAACCCCCCCTCAGCCTGCTGAAGCCAGCAAGACCAGAAAAACTGGTCTGGCCAGTTAGAAACTAACAATAGGTTTTTGGGTTTTTGTTTGTTTGTTTGTTGGGGGGGGAGGGGGATTGGGTTTTTTTTCTTTTTTGTTTTTTGTTTTTTTTCTTTTTTTGGCTATTGTTGGTTGATTGTTTGATTTTATCTTGTTTTTTTAAGTGACTTTTTTATTTTTCAATTCTTATTATTTTTATGTCTCTCAATCCCTTATGTTTCTCTTCCATTCATCCTAGTATTATTCCTTCTAATCCAAACTTATCTCTCCTGCACTCCATCTTCTGCTATCCCCTCCCCCCCTTTTTTTTTGAGCTTGCAAGTTACTGCAAATTTGTATTATCTTTTTCTCACTTTTCTGACATTTTTTATTTTAATAGTATTTTGGTATTCTTTCTCTTTCTGTATAATCTTCTTTGCTTGGCTGGTTATACTGTCATTTGATAGGTTCCCCCTGTTATCTCAGTCACAGTGTGTTGATAATTCACTATCCTTCATCTGTGTTCCATTAGTACATCTCTCAAGGTTCTATACTCCTTATTCTTGTTACCTAGATCTCATAGATTCTGCCACATGATTGTTGCTTTAATATTACTGTAAATAAGACCTAGTTCATACAATTTTGTAAATACTACTCAACACCCCTCCCTGATCTCAGCCCACATTGCAATTTTCTGAACTATATTATTGTGGGGGTTGTCTCTATTCTTTTACACACTACTCCTATTTACTAATCTTTATTCCAACCGTACCTCAGAATCTGACCTCCCACAGCCTCACAGCTTTCTAGATCCAACTAACAATCCTTTTGTCCCCAATAAGAGTCTTACCTTCTTTCTATCCTTTCTAAAACATGGCTAGCAGGGTGGAAGATCACGGTTAACACTACACATAGCCAAAGGATCTCCCATCTCTTCTCTACTGGCTGCTACTGTAAATATCATAGAATACTGTCTTGCTGTCTTAAACCATTTTGCCTTACTCCTCCAACTGATCACAAAAAAAAGCAGGGGGAACTTGTGAACACCAGGATACACAAAGGAGACTGCACCACTGAATCTCACAGGTATTCTACCACAGAAGTTCACACCATACTCACAGGGAACAGATCAATTTAAGAAACAGAGGCTAACAAAAAGAATCTCACGAACAATAAGAAACCAAAGAAACAATCCCCAAATGAAGGGAAAGGAGAAAGCCTCAGAAAGAATACTAAATGAAATAGAGGCAACTCAGCTATCAGATATTGAGTTCAAAACAATGATTATCAGGGAGCTCAATGAACTCACAATGAGCTACCAGAAACTAGAGGGAAGCTACAATGATCTCATTGCAAACTATATAAACATGAAAAAGGAAATACAAACTATCAACCAGGGACAACAGGAAATGAAGAATGCCATTTCTGAACTGAAGAACACAGTAGAAGGAATGAAAAGCAGGATTGATGAAGCAGAAGATCGGATTAGCAAGCTAGAGGACGAAGTAGAAAAGAACACCCAGAAAGAACAAGAAAAGGAAAAGAGGCTCAGAAAGAATGAAGAGGGATTAAGAGAAATACAAGACAATATGAAACATAATAATATCCATATAATAGGGATACCAGAAGGAGAAAATGAAGAGCAAGATATAGAAAACCTATTTGAAAAAGTAATGGTGGAAAACTTCCCTAATTTGATGAGAGAAAAAATCACACAAATCCAGGAAACACAGAGAGTCAGAATCAAGAGGAACCCAAAGAGGCCCACCTCAAGACACATCATAATTAAAATGGCAAAATTTCAAGACAAAGAGAGAATATTAAAAGCAGCAAGGGAGAAACAGGAAGTAACATACAATGGAGCCCCAATAACGCTAACAGCTGACTTCTCAATGGAAACACTCCAAGCCAGAAGAGAATGGCAAGAAATATTCCAAGTAATGAGAACCAGAGGTCTGCAACCAAGGCTCCTTTACCCAGCAAGGCTCCCAATCAAGATAGAAGGCCAAATAAGAAGCTTCCCAGATGAAAGAAGTCTAAAAGAATACACCTCCACCAAACCAGCTCTGCAAGAGAGGGTGGGGGGGAACACACGTACATAAAAGACAATGAATAAGTACCTATCAATAATAACCTTAAACGTAAATGGATTAAATGCTCCAATCAAAAGACATAGAATAGCTGAATGGATAAGAAAAAATGACCCACACATATGCTGCCTACAAGAGACCCACCTCAGGATAAAAGACCTGCACAGGCTGAAAGTGAAGGGCTGGAAACAAATCTTCCAACCAAATGGACAGGAAAAAAAAAGCCAGGGTAGCAAAACTCATATCACACAGAAGAGACTTTCAAAAAAGGTCCATAAAGAGAGACCCAGAAGGTCACTTCATAATACTCAAGGGAAGAATCCACCAAGACGGCATAAATATTGCAAGACTATATATGCACCCAACATAGGAGCACCCAAATACATAAAGAAAATCTTAGAGGACTTCAAGAAAGATATGGACAGAAACACAATTACAGTGGGGGATTTTAATACCCCACTATTATTAATGGACAGATCTTCCAAACAAATTATCAACAAAGATATTGTGGCATTGAACAATACCCTTGATGAAATGGACCTTACTGATATATACACAGCGTCCATCCCAAAGAACCTAAATACACATTCTTTTCAAATGTACACGAAACATTTTCAAAGATAGACTACATGATAGGACACAAAACAAGCCTCAATAATTTCAAGAAAATTGAAATCATACCAAGCATTTTCTAGGATCACAAATGACTGAAGCTAGAAACCAACCCAAAGGGAAAAAAAAACAAAAACACTCAAAATCATGGAGATTAAATAGCATACTATTAAACAATGAATGGGTCAAGAAAGATATTACGGAAGAAATCAAAAGGTTTCTGGAAACAAATGAAAACAAACTCACAACAACCCAAAACTTATGGGACACAGCCAAGGCAGTCCTGAGAGGGAAGTTCAGAGCAATACAGGCCCACCTAAAAAAGTTAGAAACATTTCAAACAAACAACCTAACCCTACATCTACAAGAACTCAAGGAACAACAACAGAGACAGCCCAGAGCAAGCAGAAGGAAGGAAATAACCAAGATCAGAGCAGAATTAAATGACATAGAGACTAAAAGCACAATTCTAAGGATCAATGAATCCAGGGGCTGGTTCCTTGAAAAGACAAACAAAATCGACAAGCCTTTAAGCAGGCTCATCAAGAAAAAAAAAGAGAGAGGACCCAAATAAACACAATCAGAAATGAAAGAGGAGAGATTACAACAGATACCACAGAATACAAAGGATTGTAAGAAATTACTACAAAGAACTGTATGCCAAGAAATTTGAAAACCTAGGTGAAATGGACAAGTTCCTAGAAAAATATAATCTTCCAAAACTCAATGAAAAAGAAGCAGAAAGCCTGAACAAACCAATAACAGCAAAAGAAATTGAAGCAGTAATCAAAAAACTCC